GGGGCGGGGAAGGGCAAGGGGGGGAGGGGCACGACGCCACCGACGAGTCGGGGGGGTTGTCGCTAGAGAAGGCTCTGGCAGAGAAGAACCCGCTCGCGTACCGGCTGCTGCGGTGGCTGCTGTCGGCGTGAGTGTGGGAGAGAGCGTCATTTTCGTCTGTAGAGAGGTGTACTATGCGATTGTTGTAATCGTCGTTGGTTTTTTGCTGCTGCTGCTGCTGCTGCTGCTGTTGTCATCGTTGCCGTGGTTTTCAACATCACGGCTGTTTGCTGTGACTGACTGGTGTACGTTCCTACACTGCTTCATTTGTGGCACGCAGTTCGCTGATTGGTAAAACAAAACTGTTGGTGGTTGCCACTGATCACCTGCTCCGTCATTTCGACCGCACCCTTATTTCAACTACGGCAACTTGGCGTTGCTTGGTGTCCACCTTCATGCCCAGGAACCGTGCCCACTTGCGGCCTTTGCGGGAATGGGAGCTTATCCCAGAGATCCCATGCCAGAAGCAGTTTACGCTCGTGACAGGCGAGTTTCAGTCGATGTTCAGACCACCCCCCCTCCATCGCATTCTCTCGCTTTTGCGTGCGAGAATTCAGTAGATTTCAACACACGTAGCACGTTACGGGGGCATATCTTTGTCGCCGTGATGGGCACGACAATTTAGTTCCTTTTAGTGAATTCCACAACCACGTTTCCGAGAATTCTGACTGGCCTGGGCGTAGCCAAAGCATCCCGAAGGTTTCGACGGTGATGACAGTGGGTCCGTCCGTGCCGACTCGAGAAAGTAAATCAACAAATCGTAAGCTAGATTTTTCTCTCGAGACAAACGATGGACTGCAGAGAGGACTACAGAGAGTCTGCGCCTTTCCTTGATTGGTTCGTGCAACGCTTTGGTGCTGATGACAGGACTGTTGCTCACGCCTTGTGGAGGGGGGGATGCCGCCTTGTTGTTGTACGTTTCCTACACAAAAGAATCAGCACCAGCCACGAGCCTTGAACCACAAACGATAGTAGACGAGTGCCCTCGACTCGAATGATTCCTTCTTTGATTTGACACGGTTCGTCGTGGCAGCCGCTGCTTGCACTGCCATTTTCACTGGGGGCAGTTTTGACACAATTGCTCTCGTGACGAAATACGTTCACATTTGTCCCTGTGGTGTCTCAATTTGCTGTTGTTTTTGTTGCTGTTCTTGCTGCTGCTGCTGCTGCTGCTGCTGCTGTTGTTGTTGTTTATCTTGTCCTTGTCCTTGTTATAGTTCTTGTTCTTGTTGTTGCCGCTGTTGTTATCACACCAAACATGAGGTACGAATGTACTGCCGAAACTACTTTGGCACCAGTTGGCACCTGGGGCGCTTCTACGAGCGCATGGTTTGTTGATGCTGTTGTCCCTTCGTTATTCGCAGGTACCGCCGAGCGAGAAGCTAGGTTCCAGGTGTTGAAGCGGGAGGCGGCACTCTTGTCCGGGGGGGAAACGGGGACGGGATCGTTCTACGCCTTCCACGGCAGCGGCCCCGGCAACTGGCATGGTATCCTCCAGGAGGGCCTCAAGAACATGTCCGGTATGTGGGAGAACTCGAAGTCCGGTTAGCCGCCGGCAGTTTCCACGACCGTGGGTGGGCACACCCAATCGTGTCTTCAGCTTTCTGTCGGGCGGTGCTTCATACCTAGCTCCCTAGATCAAGGTCGCAGGATACAACAACGCCGTAAGGTTGGAATAAGAGGGGGGAGTAGTCTTGATGCAGATCCCACGTGTTTTCATTTTGTCAAACTGGCACCGAAGGCTACCTGAGCTGGTTCTGAACGGAAGGTCTCCGTTTAAGAGCCTCACGGGCACGATAGGTCGGGCACGATAGGTTGAAAAAATACACATGATGTTTTCGGAGGACGAGAGTGACTTTCGAGATGTGCATCGGAAAACACTCGTTTCAATCGTGATGGGAGGGAAGCACCTGCATGGTGAGCGTTTGTGTCGTCGACAATGAGACCTTGCGCGCATACGCATGATCCTGATTGCAGCTTCCTACATATATCGACCTCGTAGATTTTGTTTCCATCACCTACCTTTGTGTTTCTGTCGCTGTTGCTGCTACTAGGTTCGAGATGGATGTCTACCGGGGCTGCCATGGGTAGCGGAATATACATGGCCAACCAGCTCTCCATCTCGCTTGGTTACGCGGGAGGGCGGGGGGGCAGCTGCAGCGGACACTGGCCAAATGCTGAGAGAGTGGGCGGACAAAACCCTGTGATAGTGGCTATCTGCGAGGTCATCGACAGGTGAACGAATCACCTCGTTCTGCTGCTGTTGGCTCTGCTGCTGCTGCCGCTGCTGCTCTTGTGGTTTCCGTGTACGTTGCATTTTCTGCTGTTGCCGCTGGTTCCGTCGTCCCGTCCCGTTACCCCCTGCCTCCACCAACCATCATTTCCGAACTGCTGTCTCGGAGTCGTTTCCTGCATACATGTTTTCCCACGGGTGACATTGATGTGTTCCTTGATCAGACCACGAGTGGTACAACCTTTGGCCATCGCGCATCGTAATATTGTCTCTCATGTGGCCGCTCTGCTGGACGATTTCACGAAGAGTTGGGATTGGGACAGGTGGATAGTACCCTGCACATTTGCAGCCGCAGTGACACATGGTGTGTGTCTGTTTTACTTACTGTTGTATGCGCTCTCTCTCTCTCTCTCTCTCTCTCTCTCCCTCTCTCACACACACACCAACACACACACACCATGCCGCCCCCTCACGCGGTCCCAGTTCATGGAATTTTGAAGTGTTTTTTTATATCTCACTGAGACTGACGACTTTTCGTTGGTCAGTTTTTTTGCGCCGTCGATGCTAATAACAAAGGCATACACACACACGTATTTTCGTCGCAAACACACGCTCGCAATCGTGCACTCCTTTACGACTTACTGCTTCCTCACCCACTACTTCACTCCATGCCACTCACTTAGCTCACTCTCCAAGTCACTCTTGCACGTCCGTGTCCTCGATCATTCACTCATTCACTCCGCTCGATCTGGCTCGGTCACCGACTCCCTTCATGTGCGTTTGCTGTCACAGGGAGTCGTACAAGACACGGGGCCGGAATGCTGGGTACTACGTAGTTCCGGACGAAGAGTGTGTGGCGACAAGGTGGGTTGGTGCCTTGTCACCACTGCGTTCTGTTGTTGATTTCAACATCAATACTGCAGGACTATGACAGTTCAGGGTTAGCTGCTGAGAAACCTACACAAATGTTCAGATCGACAACGACGGTTGGTTGTCCGATGATTGAAGATATGACTGCCCGAAAAAAATATGCGCAGTCCATAATCGCCAGGCTGGGAGCGCCGAAAAATGAGTAGCTTCTTGGCCTCCACCTCACACATGCGAACGAACTGCCCCGCCTTTCGTTGTTCAGTGTTGACCACCGGCTGCAGATTTATTTAGTTCTTTTGCTTCTGTCCCTAGATATAACTCTCTGCCCGCCCCCATTGGTGTATGAAATGAATTTGGTTCAAGCTTCTTTTGGAAACAATTTCATTTTCCCGCCTTATTTTTTATCACACTTGTACCGCTTAGACCCGTGTATTTGCTTGCTGAGTTAAGCATGGGGGTTGATCGATGTTTTTCGCTTGCTCTTGACTATGTGGAAGGTATGGATACAACGTGGATCGTGTGTGTGTCGTCCCACGTGCTCTGGAGAGTTGAGTCTTCGTACCTTTCTGTACGCTTTCGTGTGAATTGATTTTCTGTGTACGTCGGTCGAACGTTTTCCCTCCCAAGGATTACTGACTCGAGGCATCCCACCATTGTTCTAGCCGACGGTATCTTCTTTCCTTCCGGTGTTGGTTGCACAGCAGCCCCTTACCCGGCATAAATGCTGTGAGCGCTAATTTAAAGTGATCCAACAAACATCAACGAAGTAAAATGTGGCAGGCAGCTCGAGACGTCCGCATCGTTGGCGCTGACGACCTCGAGCTTATACTCGCTGACGGCCTGGTCGGCCGGGACGGTCACGTCGTAGTCGTCGGCGCCGGGGTCCAGCAGCAGCCGGCGTCGCCGCAGAGGGACGTCGAGAAGTACTTGCTTTGCTCTTGCAGCGGTTGCTGACGTGAGAGTGGCTGATATTGGCGCTTTTGGTCTCGTCGAATGAAATGCGACGTTTCGCGCTACATAGGTAGGCACAGCTTCTTGTCCCTCCCTTGACGCGGTTGTCTGTGCCTCCCCGCCCCTGCCGCGTTGCCCTTTCCCGTGCTGACGTACGCAATGAAACCGAAGGTTTCTATTGATCAATCCCAAACCAGGACATGCTGGCGGGATTCTGGCCAGCTGCCTTACCATTCACGTGCGGACGTGAAAGCCGTGGCGGCCGTTTGTGACTGGATGATGGTCTCCGCCCCCTCCTGCCTGGTGACCCGGGAGCTGACCTTTGGCGTCGTGTACAGTATTTGCAAATAGTGTCCGTGCTGCCGTTCTTTTCTCCTAGATGTGCTGCCTGTCTCTCCTTTGACGGTTTCTCTTGTTCAATAAAGTTGGGCGACATCCTGTTTTGGCATTCTGGCCCTTCGCCACAGTAGTTGGCCGGACCCTTGACTACGTAAGTGCTTAAGCGCAACTACGGCAACGGACTTGGCACGGGGTGGAAGCACCCATGTCTGCAGGAATTTGTAGTAAAATAGCCAGAAGCACCGGTGCAGTGGTACGTGTACCTCCGTGTTTGAGCCCGCGTTGGATTGCACACGTTCGAAATATGTTGTTTTGTGACCTCAAGCGAGAATGGTTGTGTGTCCCGTACCTTCACGCCGTAGCGTCCTCAACTCCGTATGTAGGGGCGGCGTGGTGACTACATATCAGTGGGGACGAACTGCCTACACTGGTGAAGATGAAGAATGCGGTGGTGTAAAGTATGCATTTCATGTGACGGAGGATACCGCGCAAGATGGGGCGCACGCCAACGCTTCAACTTGAACGATGGCCTCCTTAATTTATTGCGGATTGTGCCCATAACGGGAACGTCGACCTTCCGCTGTTCGATGATGGCAAGAACGCGACTCATGATTGTGCGTCTTCGTGGGTGACTTGTGTGAACCCATGTGCCGTGTCCTGGTACTTGGTGTAGACCCGCTCCGTACGAAGGAAAGCAATTTAACGACCAACAAATGTGGTTGCTTTGGAAAATAACGAAAAGACCATGTCGCAATCCACGCTACCGTTCTCTCCTATTTGCCGGATTGGACGATGCACCCGTCGACTTGAGAGAACAGCAAGTGCTGCTCTCGCCGGAGTTCGAGCACAATTGACTCATGCAGCGGTAACATGTCCCTTGCGTGCCTGTCGGCGGCAACGAAGTGACTTGTTCCCGGAGCGGCACGGGGCAACATGTGCACCAATCGCATGCGTGTACCCAGTGTTAAGGCTCACAAGACCGATGAAAACCTCTGCGGCGTGTCCGGTGGACTGAGCTTGTTTTGCCCTGTTGCGAAGGAGCATCAGCGAAAGATGATATATCACGCGCACCGTTCTAAAGGCCGTTCGTTGAGGCCACGGCGGGGTTTTCGGCACGAACCCCCATGCGATTCCGTTGCTCGTGCGACCGAAAGAGGACGTCAAGCACGCCCATGATGCCAGAACCACGTATCGTCCCTGGCCTCGTCGCCCAGGCGTTCTTGTTTGCCGATATTCTTCTGGTTGGGCCGGGCTCGTGGTGCACTGCAAAGCGCAACACTGGTAGTATCCAACTTCACCGGGCGAAACGTTAGTGAGATGCACAAGCCCAGCGGTAGCGACCAGAGCCAGAAACCGCACACGCGCTATAGGCATCGCGCTCCGAACGCGATCTCCAGCTTGCTTTTGACCTTCAGCAGCGACAACAACAGCGGCCACAAGAACACCAGCGGACAAGAGGGGCAGGGGGGGGGCGGGAATGTGCATAATGTAAATGGTTTGCTACAGGGGACTACAGTACTACTCGTGAACTGCACGGGGATTATCGAGTGAAAAACACAAAAAATGACATCCACGGAGGGAACAGAACACCCACGTCGAAACTGCGCGCTCGCACCGCCTTCGAAGCTAGCGGAACCCCTCTACTTGTAGAGCGAAAATATTCTGCAGCGGATTGCCTGTCGATGCAGAATTTGGGTACGTGCACCCAGCCCGCTAGAGGTCATGGTGTCCGCTTCAAAATGCCTTCGCGGTGGTCGGGCTCGCTGTCAGCCCACACTCATGGCAATCTTGCTTGGCCGACATTCGGCAGCGCTATGTCCCAATACGAGCGGCACGAGTAGCGAGCACGGCACGGAAACTGCAGCAGAGGACTTGTTAGTCCACCTGATCCACATACCTCCTACATACATGGCGACACAAAAATAATGCGGCCCCAGCACCAGTAGCAGCAGCAGTAGCAGCACCGAAAGCAACAGCGACAGCAACAGCGACAGCAGCAAAAACAGCTCCAGAACTGGCAGGAAAAACAACACAGAGCAGCTACAGCCAGAGCAAAGACACAAACCAGTCGTGCACAAGTTTTCACCTCTCGGAAGGAATGGTGTCGATATCTCGCCCAGAAGGCGCTCTCCCGCCACTTGGTCGCCGGGAAGGAAACGCTCCCAATGCCGTGGAAAACCCTTGCCACCGCCCTCGCCAGCATCGGGACATCCTGTTCGTTGAAAAGCGCGCAGGGAATCATGAGCGGGATGGTGTTGCGTCGCTCTTCGTCGAGAAATGCCTGTATAAGGTATCAAGCAGCCTCGAGCCAGGGATGGTTTCAAAAAACAACACAGCAGATGATCGAAAAAGGATGAATTCTTCCGGAATTTTCTACTGTAGAAAAATCTGACCAAGATACACAGGGAGAGGGGGAAGCAAACAAACTATATTGTGACCCCTCCTGCTGTCGCCTCGAGACCAATGGAAACCCGTAGTGGTGATGTCCGGCTAGCTTCTCAACAAAGAAAAGCACGCAGAACAGCGGTTGACAGTCCCGGCGCAAAACGACCACGCAAATAACAAGGAAAGGATACCCAGCCCCTCGCCCTTACAAGCGTAGAAAAATAACGGGGTGGGGAGACATTGATGGGCCCGGTCAGACAAGACGGGTTGGTATACAAAAAAGAGAAGCATGAGTCAGTCAATAAAACAAAAAAAGCGGAAACAAGCAGGAAATTCCATGAACAACGAAGCGCGAACCCCGTGTCGCGCCGCCGGTTGGTCGGCAACCAACCTCGGAGGTAGTTTTATGCCGTTCTAAGGCTGCCGTCTTTTCATTGGACAGGCGGTTAGCGCGCGGTCGACGCTATCCGCGTTTATCAAAAGATTCACAAAATTCCACGCTCCGCATGCGCGCAAACACGTGCCCATCTCGAAACATGCGAACACAAAGACAGTTCACAATGGTAGCCACACGCGCGAGCTCTTGCCTTGAGCAGCCACGAGTGTGGGGCCATGCCGATCCCAGACCCGCCGGCAGCAGCCGCGGTGCCCCCGGTGGCCACGTCGAAGAACCCCAGCCCGCCGCCGCCGCTCCCGTAGTCGTCGAAGCCGGTGTTAAGGCGGCCCAGGAAGGACGGGTCTGTCACTAGGACGGAGGCGTCTCTCACGAGCACCTCACACGCTCGTTTGTCCAGCGGCCGGTGTGGGAGAGCCTCCACCGCCACCTCCGTTGCTTCCTCTGCCGACGGGCGCCGCCCGCCGTCCACGGTCGCGCACGATGGGTCGGCGGGGCCCGGCGAACTGCCGCCGCCGCTGGCTGAGCCGGGAGAGCCGCCGTTGTTGACGTGTTTGTCGCCCCCGCCGCAGCCTTCGTCGAAGTAGCGGCTGATGGTGGCGTGGAGGACTGACCTCGCCCTTGCGTTCGCGGCCGGTGTGTCCCTGCCATCGCCGCCGCTCCCGCTGTCACCACCACCACCAGAGCCCCCTACGGCAGCGGCGGTTGTAACCGTTTCGCCGTCACCGCGGGCACGCTTCTTGCCGGAGCTCGTTCGTGGCGGGGAGGACGAGGAGGAGGAGGAGGACCCGGGGTCATCCTGTCCTCCGCCCCCTTCTCCGACGACCGCTTCTGCGGCGAGCGCGAGGTACACCGCCTCCACCTGGGTTAGAAAGATTCACGTTTCGGAATATTTGGACCGGGGGTCTCAGCAATACACCTGAATATGACGCATACGCCTTGTTCGTGAACAAGGCTGGGTTGCAGATGCTACGCCCGCAAGTACTGCTGTGCCTGCAATCACTCACAACAACCGCGCGGGTGTGTCCCCCACACCCCCAGATAAGCGCTTTCGTCAAATCCCGATCAACGACGTTTCGAATACTTGTTTCGGACATGCCAAGTCATCTCACCAAGACTCGACGTTTGGATACTGTTTCGATTGCGTCGCCTTCTTCAGTCATCCCGTACAGCATACTACAAATATCACGTCACGATTCTCTACCACTTCTAGCCTCTACGCGTCGCTCCCGGTATTGCCCAAAACTTCACTCTTCCACCGTCTCTTCGGCCACCTTCAATGCTATCCAACAGGCGCCAGCAAACGTGATAAGCGGCGGTCGAGTCAAGAGTCGACCGGCACGCATGCCTCGCGAACACAAGCGATACGAGACTCGGGTGCAAAAAGAGAGCCCATCATGGGGCTCGTTGTCGTGAAATTTGTCCGTCACAGTGTCGGGCACCTTTTGAGCCTCGGAGGCCTCCGCCGTGGATAGCGTGCGATGCAAATCGAGGCAGACCTCTTCCAGTTCCCGGGGAGACAGCCCCTTGAGGAGAGTGACGTGGAAGCTCCTCTGGGAGAGGGAGTACTCCACCTCCCCCATGAACTGTAGTCTGGTCGGAGAGACGGGGAGGGGTCAGAGAGAGAGAGAGAGAGAGAGAGAGAGAGAGAGAGAGGAACAGAAGCCGAAATTAAGATTTGGGGTCATTCGGACCCCACAACTAAATTATGTAGCAGCCGCAATCAAATTAGACTTGGTTTGAGATCGGCTTCTTGAAGGGGAGAAAGAGCGAAAGAGAGAGAAAGGAAGAGAGGAAGTGAGGAAGAGAAAAAGAAAGGAAGAGAGAATAGAACATGGGGAGAGAGCAACCAACACAGCATACTCTAACAACAACACTACCACCAACACGAATGACTCGCAGGTTAGGCGAACTCACCGCGAAGCACATCCCTTCCAAGAAACGGCGTTGTCTATATTAGTCAAAACATTTCCTTTGGCAGTTTATGTCGCGATACCACAGCAACAACAGGATCAAGCTCAAGTCGCGCCCGAAAGCAACGACGTTGCTATGATGTCGCTTTCGAGTGCTTCGTGCTTCACAGAACGGTCCCAAGCGGCCTGTCATTTAATCGTGTTGGTTCCACATCATCGCACAACTCCAACACCGATGTGTGTGGGTGTTCTCCTCGTCACCGCAACCCACGGCAGGAAGGATGTTCAAACCTTAGAAACATACATGAGTATGACGCAAGCTGCCAACAACCAGCAGATGAAGGAGACAAAGCGTTTCCAGCAAGCTTCGTGGGGAGCAGAAAACGCGAGTTAGTGTCGCCACGCCGCCGTGCCACCCACCTCCTTAGCTCGCGGACGACCGCCGTGGGCGCCCAGCCCAGCGCCTCCGCCAGCCTCACCAGGCTGATCTTCGCTGAGCCGTGGCCGTAGCTGTACCTGTGAGAGCAACAGGAACGGGTGATTTTATGTGTCGGAAGAGAAAACACCACGCGCTGCGTGTGCGGGTTGTCGGAGGAAGCCTCTAAGCATCCAAGAGCTCGGTTCGACATGCAACGCCGAACGACCGAACTCCCCAAAAAAAAAAAAAAAACGCGTCCGACGAGAAAAAAAAGTTGAAACCTGAGACACCCCAGAACGGGATCGAGGACAGAGGGCGGTGGATGCTACTGAACCACCTGCCGATGAAATCACGTCACCCCCCCCCCGCGCCTATCCCTTGAACTGCGGAGAACGCTCTGGGGTACCTCCCCTTCGGATTGAGAGGCAGGACTCCTGTCGACCGTGATGGGGTCAACGAAGACAATCTACTCTCATTAGCAGACACAACGTCGTGCAGCTCACAACGTCACGTAGTAGAATCTGCGTCAATCTCGCGCGCGTCGACCCGTCCCCACTCGGCGGCTACGCCTTGTCTCTTCTCACCGTGTGAAACGCTCGAGGGTGCGCCCCCCTTTCCTCCGAAACCGAGGCTAGCAACACGATTCACCCCCCTTCCGACCACATCATGTCCCCGACAAGGCCGCCGTTGACCTACAACAGCCCCCCCCATCCCAACACGTCCGGCGGTTGCTTCTCACCCCTTCCCGCTCGAAGGCAGGCCTTCCACGGTGCCCAGGGCAAGCAGGAGGCCAATGGCAGGCTCCCCTTCGGCAAGGAGGGACGGCCGTCTCTTCCGAAAGTGCACCACCAGATGATCGTCCATCACTGCGTGGAGTTTCAGCAGCCTACAACCGGCGGCGATGGAGACAGTAGCGGTGGTGGCGGCGGCGGCGGGAGGGGGGGGGTGGTTACTGTTGGTAAGGGGGCCGGGGGGAAGGGAGCGGTGTTTGCTTACAGACATCCTTCGCAATATATCTTGATCACTCCCAACACGATCCACCCTGTGTCTTCCTGTTTCAGGAACTTTCACAAGGGGGGGGAGAGGAGGCGGGGAGGTGGATTTGTTTTCATCTGCATTTCTGTCTACAGGTTCATCTTTGATATGAGGGAGAAGGGAGGTGGGCATGTGCTATTTTCTTCCTATTTCCAACCTCCCCGTTACTCTCCCAGTCCTTGCCTCCCAGTCCCGACTTTTTCGAGATAACCTTCGGCTCTGAGGAATTCCGTCGTTTTCTCCCTCGCATCTTCCAAGGCCTGTTGGCCAAATTCATGTCCGTGTCATTGGTATCCCCCAACCTCCCCCTGGTTTCCCAGGCTGCGTTGAATGCTTTCCCCATGTCATGGCCACACTTCACTTTTTCTCTCTCAAGCAGTAGACGGCGTTTTCTACTTGAATGTTCAAGCTTCTTCTCTTACCCGACGGGCGTCTTGCGGGTTATGTTCTCGGTACTGCTGCGTTGTTCGTCGTCTCTGTTGGAACACCCTAGGGAACCTTTCCCAGCTGCTGCTGCAATCTGTGGATAATACTCACCACTGCAATCCTCTGCAGGGAAGTGTGGTATGACAATGTATGATCGGACACTTGGGAAAACTGCCCAGGCTTGGTGCGCTCCAGGCAAACGGAAGTCTGTGCACGGACCTACCGTTGGCGGCGAACCTCGTTCTTTCGAGGGTACGCCACACATACCGGCCTACGCTTCACACAACGACACGGTTCCCAGCAGTTGCGGGACTCCATAGTATGCCCCTACAAACGAACGTATGATTGCCAGCTGTGGTTCATCCTTGAGAAGCGTTGTAAACTGGGCCAGCGAAAACCCGGCATATCGCTCCGTCCCGGCATGTAGGGATGAGGCCAATGGTCTAACAACTTCGGCATGCATTTTCATTAGTACATCCCCTCCCCCTACTTGAAACTCACCGGTACGGCTACATGAGTCCCCCCACCCACCCCCTGCTTGAAACTCACCGATACGGCTCCCCCTCAAGAACCGAGAGCACGGTTTCAACGACCTCTCCCCCGACATCGAGACGGGACTCTAAGTCCACCACGGACAAGGCCTTATGGAGTCCCGCCGCCTCGTCGCCACCTCCGGCCGCGTTGTCCTCATCGTCGTCGTACTGGTCTCTAGGTCCTGTTTCGCACGCAGTACACGTTGTCCGCGTGTTGTTGCTGATCCTTGTCAAATACTGTATATAACACAAGATAACACACCCCCTGGACCGATTTTCAAAGCTAGATTTTCAACAGCAGCAACAGTCGCAGGGTCGAAAACGGCGTTGAAGCCGTCTGGTCGAGAGCTCTGTGAAATCGTATTCGTTCGTCTACATCCTCTTCGTCGTGGAGTAATCGGGCTTTGAAAATCGGTCCAGGGGATGTGTTATCTTAATACGGTATTCCGTGTCGGTTGCGGCGTGGATGATGTTAGTATGGAACCAAAGAAGGAGCAATAGAAGTACATAGACAGGGCCAATGAACCTGCTGGTTCAAAAGGCTGTTTGGCCTCTTAAATTTATTTAAGATAATTAGACGCTAACTTGGACTAAATACAGGGAAAACCCCCCCTTCACCTGAGGGGTTTTTCTTCGCCGTTTCGCCGAGTATTCCCTGAGGCGCGTCGGCCATGATGCTGCGCATCAGTCCTCGAACCTTGGGGGGGAGGGAAGGGGACGGGGGCGCGCGCGAGGGGGGGTACCAGATGTCGAGTTGGGAAAGTGGAAAGTAGACGGGGCAGGGGGGTCCCTACTTGGCGCTTGCCAATAGTCTGGAGGTGGTGGATCTTGCGTCTCAGGTGGGACGGAAGAACCCTTCGTTTTTCAGATAAGTGGACAGGAATTCCCAGCCCAAACATTGTGTAACAAACTCCCTGTCTCTCAGTCCCTCGATATATCCATCTCGTCGACACAAGAAGATATGTATATGCATTACGTCTTGGTAATATCCAATAGCAACAGCTTGCAGAGCCCGAAGGCACCGCGCCGCCGCCGCCGCCGCCAACCTGGACAAGCTCCAGCCCCTTGGAGTGCGAAAGGCTGTGGTGCGTGACGAAGTCTTTGTCGCAGAGGAGGAGGCAGCACCTCGCGCTCCTCCCGTCCCTACCCGCACGCCCGATCTCCTGCGGACGGTCGACCGGGCGGCCGTTCGGTCGGTCCACACGCCGCCCGGTGATCGAAGAAGGGGGGAGGGGGACGAGGGTCAGAGGAACGGGTCGTCAGATCGAGAGAGGGTGGAGAAGAAAGAGAAGGGGCAACAACCAAATGGTTGGGCTGAAGGGGGTTATTCCAATCGAGGGCGTGGGAAACGGGCGCGATTGTTCACCGAGCGGGGTGCCGTGGTTGCTCATACACATCCTTCTGGATATCGCGTCCACAAAAGCTGCTGTGGTTGCCTGTGCTGAGGAAGAGCAGCCGCCACCAAGAGCAACCGGTGCTCCCAGAGACACAGCAACAAACATCGGAAGCAAACAACACATCATCACCTGGACGTAGTTCTCGATGCTCTTGGGCATGTCGAAGTGCACGACGCCCCGGATGTCTCTCATGTCCACCCCGAGCCCGAACGCGACCGTTGCCACCACCACCCGCGACCTCCCCCTCATGAAGGCGTTCTGGGCCCTCTGCCGCGCCCCGGCCTCCATACCCCCGTGGTAGGCGACCGCGTTGTGCCCGTCCCCCTGGAGCAGGGCGCACACGGCCTCGGCGGTGACCTGCCGCCAGACGTACACCACCACGGAGCCCTTGTCCAGAGGGGCCTCCTGCAAGAGTCTCGAGAGGCTGCTGCGCTTGTCTGGGGGGGGGGGGGGGGGAGGGGGAGGCAAACGGCAGTCGGGGGGGGGAGGGAAAGGGCAGGTGGGGGTGGCAAGATGAAAAGTGCTCCAAAACAAGACAAGCGCAAAGACGAAACGAGAACAACAATAAACAACCAGCAACAACAACATAATATCGGCCTTGCATGCCCCCCAGCACAGGAGCAACGAACTTCTGACCACCTTTTCCACACTCCGCCGTAACACATCGCAGAAGCAGCAGCAGCAGCAGCAGCAGCAGCCTTGACTCACCATCGTCGGAAGCAGACCTCAACACGCGGACGTCCAAGTTCGGCCTGTCCCAGGAACCGACCTTCACGCCGTCCTTGCGGGGGATCCTAAGGGTGGTGCAGATGTCCTCCACCACGGCCTTGCTCGCTGTCGCCGTCAGCGCCAGAACCCCTCGGGGGCGCAGCAACTTGTGTACGAGAGGAGGGGGGGGGGCGTTGAGTATACACTAGAGGTATGCATTCGTCGTCTTGAGCGCTAGAACGCTTTCGGGACAAGTGTGACGCTTTTTGGATTTGGGCTCGGCTCGACTAAAAAGTACGCGCGAGGGCGCCGTAGAATCGAGGATATGGGCTGGGGGGGATAGGAAAAACTGTTCGCCAAAACGAAACACAAACAGACCGACGGCAGAGTGTACCGGCACACGCACCAAGCAGACACTGCTGTCACAATGAAGGGCACTGGGATTGGAACAACGTCACAGGCTTTCTCAACGGCTAAATAGCTGCACACGACACACAAGGATGCGCATTTCCTCATCGCCCTCTCTTCCTCACGTCCAGGGTCTGCCCGAGCCGGAGATAGGAAGGCCTGAAGTTGTGCGACCACTGGGACACGCAGTGCGCCTCGTCCACACAGAGCAAGGACACGGGCGGCAGGGCTCCCGGCGTGGAGGCCAGGCGGCGGAACGACGGCGAGCACAGCTTCTCCGGTGACAGGAACAGCACCTGAGGCGCAATTTTGACGCGGAACCGCCGATGTGGAAAACAGGGGGGGGTCGAGGAGCGCTCTGATTCTCTCGCAGGTTGGGGTGGGGTGATCCGAACGCTGCGGAGCTGTTGCGAAAAAGCGTGCATGTTGTTTATAAGGAGCGGGCAGTCGAACAGGGAGCGAACAAAGACTGTGAGTTGGGCGACATGAACACCATCACAATTTGAGAAGGATACGGGGTTCGCCACGTTACAGAGGGGGGCAATATCCCGCTCCCAAACAGCCCCAAAAGGACCAGCTCGCCCCACCAATCGGAAGGATGGAGGGAAGTCACAAAAGGAAGACAACGTTTCAATATTATCCTTACTAGAGAACGGAACGGTTTTTAATGTGAAGACAACAACAACAACAACAACAACATAACACTACTGTAAAATGTTTTTGCTATGTCCATATATGACAAAGATATACAAAGACATCACGACACACAGCACGCAAACGCCTCCTTCGCAGAACCCGTCCGTTCGACGTCACACCTTGACCCTGCCGGCCTTCAAGTCCCTCACGGTGCCCGCCACCTCCCGCAGCCCGCCGTGGCTTCCGCTCAGCGACGCCCCCGGCAGCTGCGGCGGAAGGTTGGCCATCTGATCCTCCATGAGCGACACCAACGGAGACACCACCACCTAGTGGGCAAAAAAAGACAACCGATTGGGGGGGGGTGGGGGGGCGCTGATTCCCGTTGTCATGTGACGGTTGACCATGCATCGCTTGGTGAGAGAGCATCGTTTCTGCTCGTCTCGATTAGGGCAACGCCAGTATTTCGGGGATCTTTGTTGTCTCTTGCATGTCTCGCACGAAGAATACCCTCTTCTCATCTCCTTCCCCGATGACCTTCCGCGGCCACCACCATCCTCTTCTCCCGGCACAATAAGAAAACTAATCACTCGGTCGCCGATATCTACTGTACCTCGACCTCAGTCAAAACAATTCACACCAACGGCAGCGAAAGTCGGGGTCCTGCGCCAGGCGCCACACGCACCGTGATCCCCGGCAGGAGCAGCGCAGGCAGCTGGTACGTCAGGCTCTTCCCCGTGCCCGTGGCAAGCACAAGAAGGCTGGCCTGCCCGCCCATCGCCCTCGCCACCCCCCACTCCTGCCCCTCCCGGAACGCCTTGTGGCCGAATACTCGCCGCAGCGCCGAGGCCGGCGTGAGCGGCAGGTCCGAACCACCGCCATCATCGTCGTCGTCGTCGCTGTTGGCACTTCCAGTCCTAGCCTTCCTCCGTCGTCTTGGTTCAGGTCTCTCCTCGGCATCATCATCGGTAGGTTGTTCATCATCGTCATTGTCGTCGCTGTCGTCGTCTGAGTTGCTGCTGCTGCTGCAGCTGCTGCCGCCGCCGCCGCTTTTCTTCCTCCCGATTGTAGTCGCCGCCGGTTTCGTCCGGCCGCTGCCGATACGCTGCCGCCGCGAAACGCCGCCGTCGCCGAGCTTCTGCCGCTTGATCCGCTCTAATCTTCGCCTGCGGTTTGCTCTGAGACGGTGGAGGCAGACACAAGGGGAGGGGCAGAGAGTGGTCGGGAGAGGCGGTGTGTTCTACTGACAAAAGGGTGGGGAATTGCGCAAGAGAGGGCGGTCATTGTGTGTGTGTGTCGAGCTGGGGTCGGGCGAGGGGCTTCTTTTGGGATGTCTACCGACACACACGAATGGTCCTCCTTGGGTAGAGCAACAACACCCCAATGACCTACGGGTGTCACCGGGGCAAGGCGCCGACCAAGCAAGAACGCACCGGTCTGCTCTCTCTTCCTCTTCCGACCAAGCGCTGTCGTCGTCAGGGTCGCCTCCTTCCTCCGCCGACTTGGCACCGCTGCTACTACCGCCCTCCTCCTCCCCCTCCTCCTCCTCCTCCTCCTCCTCCTCCTTCTCCTCCCGTTCCTCCTCTTCGTCGTCCGATTCAACTAGGCTAGCCCAAGCCGGTTCTTCCTCGTCCTCTCCACGCACCCCCCCCTCCTCGTCCTCATCGGCGTCACCCCTGTCCTCCGCATCCTCTCCGACAGCATCCAGGGGCCTCTTTCTCCCACGTCCCTCCGACAACACCACGGTCCCCACCGCCTCCGACGTACCGTCGACTCCGCCATTGCCCTCGATGCCGGAGCAGTCGGTGACGTAAGAAGCAGGGTCTACCGCTCCCGGTGTCCCGCCCGTGTCCTCACCGCCGCCATCGCTTTCGCCGCTCTTGGCGGAGCCACCGCCGCCGCCACCGCCGCCACCGCCACCGCCATGTTTCTCCGCGGCAGTAGTGGAGTGGTCTTCGCCGTCTGTCTCCGGAACCGGCAGCCGCGACAAGAAGCAGGCACCCGCTCCCGCCGCCCTCCCAGTCTCCAACTCGGAAACAGCCCCCGCTGGCGCAGTCGCCGGGAACGCCGCCGGCTTGACGCCTTCCGCGAAAGCGAACTCGAAATCGGAATCACCGTCGTCGTCGTCATCGTCTTCTCCCCCGCTGCTCCCACCGCCGCTCCCACCGCTGCTGCTCTCGCCTTCTCTTCTTCCGTTCGAGTGGCCGCCGCTGTCGTCGTCTCTCTTCGCGTGCGCGCGGACGGCGAGGGCGGCCCGACAAGAAGAAGAAATCCCGTCGCGTTTTCTCGTTGACGGTTTCACGTTTTCTTTTTCTGGCGCAGGTGTTACGAGCACGCAGGAGGTCGTCGAGGACTCCAGCTCCGAGGCCGCGTGATCCACCTGACGTAGCACCGTTTGGCGGTGGCGCGAGGGCGTAGGGGGGAAGAGAGGGGGGACCGAAGAGTTGCTTCCCTCGAGTCATTCGACTGTACACAAAATCATCCATCCAAACGTAGTCCCATCTACAGAACGGGACGCCTTGGAACATTGACATTCACACGCTCTCACGACCTCTACCACATGCACGCCGCTCATGCTGGGGGGGAGGGGGTTGGATAGTAACCGCAATGCCAGCCGTCACGTACGTGATTCCGGAACTGTCAGAATAAGCTGTCGAACATGGAAAGCTTGCAATTTAAGGTATTCGTGAATTCTCGTGCACAAGGTCGCCAACATTGTTCCGATAGCCCCCCCGACTCCAAGGTTTCTCTTGCACTTCTCACCAGCCTTGCGACGAGCACGTCCTTCTTCCCACCACAACCCAAACGCCGCTTCTTGAGCTCCTGGCAACGAAAGGAATACAGTTAGGCAGTGCGTATGGTGCGTTTGGTGAACCGAGACGATGTTAACTGGGACGAACAACGGGGTTCTCACACCCGTACCATCATCCGGAGATGGTTGCAAGTAATGGCAACACTGTACACACACATTGTCCGCAAGCGGAAGCCCAAGAAGGGCGGGGTGCGCGAAGGAAGAGATCGTCTCCAGGAGGATGACCCCTACATACCCTCGTGAAACCCTTGAGAGATTGACCGTGTGGTTAATCTGAAATCACGGCTAGACATTTCAAGCGCGCTACCGTACGAAACACGCCCCTTATGCTGCCGGTCTGTTTCAACCCGTGGTAGCTTTGATGTTAGACAAACCCAACAAACGAATAATTACCAAGTGCGTGTGGGACAGGCCAAGCCAGGGCATGGCGACGATTCCCGGCGCGCCCATTTGACCGGGAACACTCGTAACCCATGCCGGTGCAGGCAGCTCCCAAAAAAAGTGGTGGCGGATTTCCTCGCTTGATGACACTTCGGTACAACACCACTTTCTTTATGCCGGTCTGAACCGAAATCGTCGCGTTGAAATACGTCGTTACAATCGGTCTACGTAGTAACCCCATTCCTCCCGTTACGCCTGCCTGACGGGCTAGTAGACATACTTCGGGGCAATACGCTGGCGCCACGCCCACCGCACTACCACGGGGAATCAGAAAACAGCGCTTTGACGGATGCACCAAGAAATCAAAACAAAAAGAACATGTGACCGAAAGAAACATGTCAAAACCTTTTTCAGCTCGGAGATGGGTAGCTTCGCCAGCGACTTGCTCAGGAGCGCGTTCTTGCGCTGCCTCCACTCCTCCCCGGTCTCTTGAAGCGTGAGTTCCGAAAGCACCAGGGCCGGGTTGTCCTCGGCCCACATGAAAAAGTCACAACCCTCCCCTGTTTTTCAGTGTTGGTGGACGAGTCGAGAGCAAGAAACGGCGGTGGGCAAAAGGCACAACAGCGTGCTAGTACACCACGATTCAACACTGAACACGGAGATGGGAGTGGAGGGATGCTTGCAGGGGCGAGCGCTCTTTTCGTCTTGGCAACAAGCACGGAAAAGGTTAAAACGGAGACAACGGCAGTGCGCCGGGAGGCATCGCGTTGTCATATCTGTTTTAGTCTTGAGGTTCGTTCCAGGGAACGTTCCGACCACGCACACACGCCAACCCCGAAAACAAACACCAGGCCCAACCTGCCAGTCATAATAATCGACGGCATCTGGATACATTGTGTGCTGTCAAGCAGCAGGGTGTGATGGAGTCGAGCGACATAAGTTATCCACGAAACATCCCTTGGAGTTACTCGCTTTGTGGTTTCGAAACCCCGGTTCCTTTTTTTGGTATCAAGCATTTCTACGCGAGGTTCTCTATCCCCTGAAGCCGCACCACCGCGACTCCTATGCATGCACACCTCGGGGAAGGCTGCAGGCGTAGAACTTCCTCCCCTTGTTGAGGCCGGTCTTCCGAACCGTCAAGAGTTTCCCCGCACGCTGGTGTTGCGGACACCTCGGCGCCAGTCGAAGGAATAGCTCTTCTTCTTCCCTCGCGTTTCTGGTCTCGGCGAGCAGCAACAGCGGGAGAGACTCAGGGAACGGGGGACTAAATAGGGCACGATTGTTGTTGCACAAAAGGGAGGCAAAGAGGTAAAAAACAAAAGAAATGAACGATTTAGCGCGTAGGGACAAACAAGAGCGCGTGGACGAAATAAACAGAGAGCAGGAAGACAGACGGACAGACAGAGAGGCCGAGACAAACAGGTTTGCTCGAGAGGTGGACATTGACACATCTGCCGCACAAGCCGGAGCTGTTATTGCTGTGCACTGCAAACGTGAATTTCGACGCAGAATGCTCCCCACACACCCTCTTGCCCTTGACCAATCGTGCCAACGCCAAAAACAGGCGACGTCCAAACGCACTGACCTAGGACGCTCGAAGGGTCGGCTGTTTCCCTGCTCGTCGCAGCCCCCCCCGCCAACGCCACCACCACCTCCGCCCGCGTCGCCCCCGGTGACCACGGCCAGGGCGTCCAAGCACTGTTGTTCGTCGTGAACACCGTCGGTAAGATACGGAGGGTGGTTGGTGGTAGGGAGGCGTGACAGAAAATACTAGGTAACCGCCCGTGTCAAAGTTTCTTCGTCAACCTGGATCTCATCACACAGGGGTGGGCACGCAAGCGCGCACGACAATTTGTCCCTTTCGGGTTCCAAAGCGCCACCGTCGCAACAGCCGTACGCGAACCACGGACACAAGAAAAGGCCGAAAACAAACAACAACAAAAAACTCCTCCATACATCTGCGCATGGTCGTTGTATGTGTTTCTCCTCACCTGATCCAGGACGTCGAGGCCGGCGCGGTTCTTCGCCGCACCACAAGACAGCGGTCTATCCCGTGGAGCCCCTCCCTTCTCCCCCGTCACCGGGTCCTCCCTGCCCTTGCTTCCGCTCCCCCACTTCGAGCTCCCGTCCCGGAACCCCCCTCCCCGGCCACCAAACCCCTGGCCTCCCCAACGACCCCCGCCGCCGCGGCCGCCCCCGCCGAAGCTTCTGCCGCCGGAGCCGCCGCGGGCCTTGCTACGCCCGCTGCCCTTGCGCTTGAAGCGGCTGCTGCCCCTGCTCTTGAGGTCCGCCCGAACGAAGTTGTCGCTAACCTCCGTCGTCTTCTTGGCGGGCTTCGCCTTCTTTCTGCCGCCGACAGCGCGGGAAGAAGGTACCCGCCCCGGCACCGGCTGCACACCGGCCGCGCTAGCCCTTCGAGCCCGATCGGAAGCGGGATCACCTTCGTGGTCGCGCACGTGCGCCGCCGCTTCTGTCTTCCCTTGACGAGTGGTGGAGCTGGCGTTCGTACCGCCTCCACCTCCCAGGCTCCAGTCGCTGTCGTCGCCGCCGCCATCTTCGTCGCTGTCGCTTATGCGGCCTGCTCCTAAGGAGGGGGTGGCAGAGGTTTGTTTGTTGCCAGCGACGATGGCTTCACGGCCGGCCGTGCTGGTGGCGTTGCCGCTGCCCGTGACCCGCGAGCCTTGCGGCCCCTGGGGCGTGGTGCTTGTCAGCGTTGGCGACGTTCCCCCGTGCGTGCCTTCCGGGCCACCACCGTCGGCCATAGCACCCGCTGCCTTAGCTGCAGCCGCCGCCGCCACCGCCGCCGCCACCGATGCTGTATCGCCCGCCTCTTCCTCTTCCCGCACTCTCCCCACAGCACGGGACGCTCGCAGGCGCCAGTCCTCTTCCAAGCCGCTACCGCCGCCGCCGCCGCCGCCGGTACGCCGTGGACCACTAGAGCAGGAGGAGGCCACCAACCCAGGGCCGCAGATCGTTGCAGCACCTTCAGCCGTACTTCCTGCCGCCTTTGCCACCACAGCGGCGGGCCTCTTCTTTTTTGCCCCGACCATTCCCGGCGCGCCCAGACCCCCCGACGAGTGAGACAACGAGGATCCACCAAAAGCCGCGCCTGCTCCGCCGCCGCTGCCGCCGACGGTATTGACGATGTTCGCCGCCGTCGGAAGAAGGCCCGAAGCAGCGGCGACAGTATCGCCTAGCCTGTCTCGCGAGCCATCGCCGACGCGTGCGGCACCAGAGGGGGTGGTGTTGGCGGACAACATCGACCCAGGCGACTGGAGGATGTCCATCATGGCCACAGCTAGGCCGGCCTCGTCACCCGCCGACGCCGTCACCTTCGCTGAGCCTTTCCCTCGCCGGCCAGGGCCCGCCACCCCCTCGGAGCATGCATTAGCGCTTGCGGAAGAGAAATCCTTACCACCTAAACGCTCCCCGGTGGCGCGGGACTTCTTGGTCACTACCCCCCTGCCGAAATCCGCGCGGAACGACCGCAAGCCGTTGCTGCGGCTCGCACCTGGTACAGCGCTCCTGCCACCTCGCGCCGCACCTCCGACTCTGCGCGTCACCCGACGCTCGGGGGCCAGCTCTCTCTCAGGCTCCGGCGATTCTCCGTACTCATGCGCCCCCCCCTGGCCCTCGTCATCATAAAACGCAGAGCTGCTGGTGCTATGGTCACTACTCCCTGAGGCCGTCGCGCCACCGCTGTCGCCATTCGCGCCGCCATCCGGTTTTCCGGCGTCGAGCGTGCCAACCCCGCCGGCGCACTCTCTCGCTCGGCTCCCAGCAGAAGAGGGCGGCATCGTGTCGGCCGCCTCCGCCAAATCTTTCCCAACGCGTTCTCGACGCTCTCCATTCGCCGCATGCACCCCTGCTGCCCCTCTGCTACTACTAGCACGTGCGAGGGCGCTTCTACCGCCACCGACACCACCTCGGCGTTCGGGTGACCCACCGCCGCATCCAGCCCCTTCCACCGAACGAGATGAGTCACGAAGGCGTGGGACACCGCCCTTGCTGTTATCTCCCCGAGCGAGGGATGACGACGCGTTTCTCTCTGGCTTTGTCACCGCCGCTGCGCCTGCCGGCTCCTTCGTCGCCGTGGCGCTCATTCCCATGGCCCTAGCGCGACTCGACACATGCACACCGGCGGCACCGTTGGAACTCCGATCGAGGCGGTTCTTGCTTGTCGCTACCGCGCCGCGGCCGCTGCGGCGGTGGCCATCTCCGGCTGCGAGAACGGAGTTGACCTTGGGTCTTAGCTGCCCCGCTTTCCCTTGGGCGAGAGGAGCGGCTAGCGACGAGCCCGACCTCGGTTGGACCTTGGCGCGCAGGCGTTCCATGATGTCCAGGTGTTGAGAAATCGAGTTGCTCTTGATAGGGCCGCCGCTGCTGTGTTTGCCGCCGCCGCTCCCGCCACCACCATCACCACCCTCCGCCCCAGGTCTGTTCCGGCCGTTATTGCTGTTACCGCTACCGCTGCTGCTACTACTTTGACGGAAGCTTTGGGCGCTTCCCGGGGCTCCCCCATTGTTCCTCTCGGCGGCGCTTTGACGAGGCCCTCCGATGATGACCATATTCCGGGTTGATTCTCTCGTCGCTAAAGACTTTCGAGCGAGCACGGCGGGGGCAAGAGCGGAGGCGGGTGGGGGTTGGACGGTCGGCAGGATTCCTACCCAACGTTCAAAAGGAGCGGTTCGGAAATAAAAAAGGAGCGCTCATTGGCTGGTCCGTACATCAAGGCATCAGAGGCGTACGCATTGCGCCACGGGGGTTGCTTCATCTCTCAAGCGGAGAACCTAGGCTCGGAGAGAGGTTGAACGGAGTTGCATACTTCACAGGCGCACCGTATGGCTTCTGCGAAGTGGACTTCTCGCTAAATGCGCACGACTGCACGTGAGGGAGGCCAGGAGGGTAGGAGCACAATGTGGGCACGCACACATAATTCAAAAATGCTACACGAAATAGTTGGGTGTAACCTCTAGAGAAAACGAGCGGGGGGTATGCACCTTGGTAAAGCTGTCGCCCGTGGCTCGGTTCAGGGCGAGGTACGCCGCGTGCACGAGTCTGCCTCTAGCCGAAGCGTCGCTGTCGAGCGCCTCGAAGTCACGCTGTTTGGGGAAGCGGCCATTCCTGCTGCGAAACGCCCTCTCCCACTCTTTCAGCTGCCCGCGCAGGTGGTTGCAGTAGCCCTCACTCGTCGCGCTCGCCATGACCTTGTCTGGCTGCTCACAGCAGAAGGCAGGACAGCGTACGTTTGGCGCGGAAAGCGTTTCTTTTAAGTGCAGGGGTTTCGGTTGGGCGCTAGGTGGTGGTGTCAAGTAGGCAGGCCGTCGGCACACAGCACACAGCAAGGGAGTACTGCCTTTCGACTTATCCCGAAGTGCGAAAAGTGACAAAAGAGAACGAATACGACACGAAATGTTGAAAATACCGCCGTTGTTGCGGTGTCTTCGATGTCTCAGCTACAACAGCAAGTCCAAGCTAGGTGAAAGATTAGTTTCGGGTTTCGGCAGGCCACCGTCACAGCTGAGTGGTGGGACTACAGCTGGCAACGCGTACCACTGACTTCGGCTTCGGTGTTTCATCGCTATCCCTCGCCCGCTGATCTCGGGGGTACGTGTGGCGATTAACTGGGGGAAAACGCAGAGCTACATTTACAAAGAAAAGCTTTGAAGTTGTGAACTCAACGTGTACGAAATGCATGCAGTGATGAGTTTTCAAAGGTTTGAGGTCCATGTATGCACCACCAACGTGCAGGTGCGTGCCTGAGTGGCAATTGGCGGAAAGGGATGTTTTCACAGCGAAAAACGAAAAGCAAGCAGGTACCCTGTGTATTGCAATGCCGCGTTTTACAAATTACTGTTGGTGCGGTGAGCATGGGCCTCCTGGGATTCGTTGGAGTGGCACGTCAGAAGCATGCCAAGAGACAGCTAGACGAGGGCATGCAACTGCTGCCGATGGGTACGTCCGACAGAGCCGAGTCCGACAGAGCCGCTGGTGTTGCCAATCCCTGCTGCTCCCGGTACCAAGTGGTGCAATGCGTCGACAGCTGGATGCAATGTAGCAACCCGGGATTGGTGCAAGAACTGAATACAATCCCCGATGATGACTCATGAGACGAGAAGGGAAGAACCGCTGTGGGCGTGGTCTTAGCTGCCTGTCATTGTCTATTTGACGCGGCAAGACTCGCTTGCCGTGGGTTGCATAAGATACCACACCCCCTTCGACCGATCTTCAAAGCTTGTTTACTCAACGACAAACAGGATGCCAAGTATGTTATGATAGTTCTCCGAAAGCTCTCTACATCATCGTTCCAACGCCGCCTCTCGACACCGCCGTGGTAACTAGTTTTACTTGCAGAGTTATGTATGTGTACCGAGCTTTGAAGATCGGTCCAGGGGGTGTGGTATCTTATGCAACGAACGGCGGTATCGCGCTGTAGTACCTGTGGAAGGTGCGGCCACCGGCGCTGGCAAACAACTCCACCGTGCCAATGACGGGGGTAAGAAGGCACCCTAGCTTGTAGAGAGTACAAGACACTTGACAAGTACAGGATTGAGTGGTGTGACCTCGTGAGGTGCCATGCCATATGTTACACTTCACACGCACCTTCTTATAGCCTCCTCAATGCTGCAGCAGCAGTTTGCCTTGGCTCGTTGTCACCGCCTCCAATGTACCCTTTCGTACTCGTTACACTTTCCACCACACTCTAGGCTTGAGCAATGGCGGTGGTGATGCAGTGGTTCTGCCCCGCAAACGGGGAATGGGGACCAACAAAGTAACAACCCGATCCAGCTCCTGCCGGTGTCTCGGCCGTCGTTCTGCCTTTTTTTATTTTCGTTTTTGAATACTGCATCAGCCCCTCTAGGATAACGCGAGTGGAAACCCCACCGGGGTTCCGGGCTATTGCAAAGAGCAATACGAAAAACAAACCTGCTGTTCTTGAGGGTATGCCAATATGTCAAGGTGAGCAATCTCGCGGGGCCGCTCCCTTGTTTGCGGAGGGAGACCCTGCCCAGGCCAGGTCGGTCTTCTCTGTCTCTGCTGTACAGTCATCTTCGCAACAGCCGCCACCACCATGTCTTCTCAAAGGACTCTAGGCATTTTCCTCCAGGTACGATCGCTCTCTCTGTTATGGGTGTAGAATCTGTCGATTCGAAGGGATTTGAGTTCCCGAACCTTTCCTGCGTCTCCTCTCCACGTCGGGGCGCTCTGCGACAGACATCTAGCAGCAGAGTGTGTTCTGTACTCGCAGCAGGTGGTTGTACACTGGTTCGTTGAAGAAGGAGATGTTTCTGTCTGTGTCGTGGGCTTCAGGTTCGGGATACATACGTATTTCTGGTAGGAAATGAACCCAGCCATGGCCATACTGCTGTACAGTCTCCCTTTGCCGCAGTCGCAAGGCTGAACGTACACATGTTGCCTTGGAGCTTTGAAGCACGTTGTATGAGCTCAAGCTGGTCTTTACGCACTCGCTGTATAACAGTCCCGCCTACGGCTCGCAAAACACTCGAACGATCATGTTCACCGGACCTTAGTCACGCAACTACCGCTGAAGACTCTTTGCGCCGCGACCAACGCCGCTATGTGAACTGCTTGCGAGAGGGGGAGACGCAACAAGTATTGAACACATCCAAGATAACCGAACTCAAGCAGTAGGAACCATCACACTTCGCCGTAAGCAATGTGGTTGCGGGACTGCCAATTTTCTTGGTTTTCAACACCTTCGTGTTTTCTCCTCTTCTGTTCGGGGTGTGTGGCATCACAGGAGTTGGGAAAGAAGATCGTCGATACTTAATCTACAGCAGTAGGTCAAATCTGGCTGCAAAAAAAGACAGATTTACCTTGGCGTCCGCCAATCAGCTGTCTCCATTTAACTTGGCGCCTACTTGGCGTCTCGTCGTCTTGTGTATTTTCCGAGTAATTTTGGCAATTACGCCGCTTTTTCTTCTGCGCGCACATTCGAACCAACCAGTTCAGAGACCGACACACATCAGGCGGGAGCCTGAGCGTTGCAACTGGCGCATACCAGACGCCAACAGCAGCAGAGACCACTCTGGTCTCTGTGTGCACGAAGTTTCGCAATGTCAATCCACACTGAGTGTCGATGACGAGCACGCAGCAGCACACGCCAGAAGAGCTACAGCGAGGAGAGAGAGGGAGATCGCACAAAAAAACACGCACGCACGCACGCACACACGCGAATACTTTGTCGAGCTACAGCGGTAGTACCCACACCCAGGGATCCATGCATGCTTGTATATCATCTGAACGCCCTGTCCTCTCGCCAGAACACTTGCAAGTAGTATCGTGATGATGATGCGCTGGCACCTCCGCTTTGTTTTTTTTCGCTCTCTTGACTCCATCTATCGGTAGGTTCTTTGGAGTGAACACCCCACCCACAGCAATCGCCATCAATCATCCATCCCGACGCGTCGGTATGTTGACAACCCGCATGGCAGAATATATGCACGGTGATTTCTTTGCTGCCCCGGTGACGGCACCTCTGCTCTGGTGTCTCCTTTCCTTCAGATTCATTGAGTGAAGTGCAACATTTTTTTTTTTTTCTTAATATGACACAACGAAACCATCTCTATCATAGAAAAGAGTCTGAGACAGATTAGCAATGGATTCATAGCGTCAGAAAGTACCTGTATGTCTACGATTTCCCAGACAGCATATAGGGACATCTCCCCTGCGGGTAACAGGCTCAACAAGACAGTTTGGTAGCTGTCTTGTGTGTCTCATATATGTTATGTTGGGAAGGTGCAGATGATATGTGTTAGGTACTGGTCGGGCGTTTTGTGTGTGGCACCCTTTTAATCGTAGGGCATGCAATCTCCCTCAGTTTGCAAACGTATTTTCAATGTGGTACGCGTATGTACCGGGTATTTGGGAACATTTTGAAAGCGTGTGGCCCGCAGATGAATGGGTTTCACCGTGTGTTCGCGGGCTTCGCCCGCGTAATTAAACTCCTACATGAAAATTCTGTCCCGGTACATTCAAAATTTACCGTCAACCTACAAATCACTTTGAGTACACTTGAATTGGGGGGTGGGTCACGTCGAGGCAACCAATCGCCTTCACAAGCATCGTGGACCCATCATTACCATTCTTGACTATGTCGCTACCAGGGAGCGGTGCTGCCATGTCGCACATTCCATCCTTGTAGCCAGTCGTGTGACGAGTGGCACCTGGATGTGCAAGCCATCCCATGCATACCAACGATGACGACTGTTCGGCATTCATTCTTTCGAGGTCAACTAAACCCTCAGTGCCAAATAAATAGTAGGGATTCCACGTTGAGAGCTAATCGCTTGCCACCGAGGGTGTGCCACGTTCTTGGTTGTTCCATCATCTTGTGTCCTGTTTGCCTGTTTCCGAACACCCTCTCATTCACCTCCATTCGATTATTGCTTCTTCGACATGTGCGCTTGCCGCGTTACAGGAGACCTTCGGGTCTTTCGCTCTGCTGATGATGGTGTTCCCGTTCAACAGCTTCTTGGGCGACACGTGGTCCGCCTGGATTCAACACTTCTTCTCCGTCATGATCGTGAGACCAATCGCAACACTTGCCTCGCGGCAGCAACAGTCATGTGCAGCAACAATAAAATAGCTGTGGTATTGTAGCTGATCTGAGTGGTGTTCTAGAGAACTCAGAGGTGCTTGTGGCAGAGGCAGGAACATGCGACTATCTGATAGAACTTGTTGTTCTGTAAGTCCCCGATACCGGGGCACCGGTACAAGCATCAATATGTTTCGCGTTTGCTACAAGTCAGAAAATTTCAAAATCTTCGCTCTCATTTCATCCCCCATCCGCGCGCGCCCCGGTGCTGCATTCTTTATACACCGAAACCCCGGGGTTGACCTTCCAGACGGACTACACCAACGGAGGCGCCCAGGTCAACCCCGCTATGTCGGTCGGCACTTTCTTCTACGGTTGGAACGACCAGTCGTCCTTGGTACGTGCGAACAGACCGTAGGTGACGAGTGTATGCCATTCCTTGTACAAAGGGACGAGATTCGGAGCAGACGATATCAATAGCCGTCGAGGATGGTCAACCCTTGTTGAAGCGGTTGCCCGAACGGATATTGACCGCGTTGTTCTTGGGCCGAATTCCCGTGTCCGATAGACTAGTTATTTTCGGCAGTGCAAAGAGAGTCAGTGCCGATATCGGTAGCATTGGCAAGTTCTCGGCGAGGGATTCGAGCCACACATGTATCTGTTCTGTTTGCATACGACCGGTGTGGGGTTTATGAGGCACAATGATATCGTGGGCGTTGTCGCCCAAACCACCTATTAGATTTTCGTTCGTGAGATGATTGGACAGCTTGATGTCCACACCCGCGTGTTTCTTTTGTAGCACCACTCGGGCTGGAGGTTGGTTGCTTGTGAGCTGGGAGAGGTTGTCTTGATGCTGTCTCTGGCCTCGATGCTGTTTCCTGAATGTTCGCCCACTTGTACCGCGCCCCGATTCGCAAAAACCAATAACGACCAGTGCCTCTCATGCTTGGCGTTTCGACAACCCCGTCTCCCGGCGTTGTGGTGTGTCTTCGTCTCCGCTCGCCATGCTCCAGGTGGTCCGCATCGTGGGACAAATGGTGGGCGGCTTCTACGCGTTCCCCATCATGGCGAAGCTGCTCCCCAGCTACGCCACGAGCAGCATGGGCGGGCCCACCCTGGCGGCGGGCGCTAGCACGGGTCAGGGCATGGCCTGGGAGTTCGGCTCGACGTTCGCGTTGATCCTGATCGTGTACGTCGCGGCCACGCAGGTATTTGTCTTGTTTTGACGAAAGCGGGGTTATTGGATCGAGGGATCCGTGGGCGGGAACGCCACTTCTGCTCAACGCGTGGTCGAATTGGATGGATTTGTTTTCCTTCTAGCGATAATGAGCTGTCAGGCGCAGGGACGTCGCGTAGCGTTGTCTTTCGCACCGTGGCTTGAAATTTCGGCCCCACGTCTCTAAGGCTGAACTGCAGAATTGTGACCGAGGTTTCCGCGACCACTCAAGGCCTTTTTCCGTGTTTTGATCATCGATCTTGTGGTGGGTATGGTTATGCCACCGTCGTGGTGTTGGCACGCGTCGAGCGCTTTCGTCCTTTGTGTTATGAGGGTTGGCTGGAGTTGGGAAAAAACATGTGTGCGGCGATTTTGACTACCTCGTAGGTCAATACGCAGTGCTGTTTTCGTCGGCATTCATCTCTTAGGAGCAAGCGGACGCGACGCCGCACGTTCGCCATAGTTTATCTCCTTTCTCGTACGAAATCACTCGGGATATGGGGCCCGCGAAGTGGGTGGGCGCCTTCCCAGGACGAAAAAGTCGTCGCCTCACCTCCCCCGACGTATACCTCCTGCCTACACATGATGCCATGGGCTAACTCTTCTCGACCCAAGAGGAAGTTCTTCGGCGATGGACTTATTCATGGGGTGCGGCAGAATATCGGCAGTGCGGACAGCAGAATTCGGCTGTCTGCATCCCTTTCGCTGTCTCCCTTGATTGGGTTCTCGACGGTACTTGGCCCCCTTTCCTCCATTCCTACCCTTGACTGCTGTGTTGTTTCCGTTCGTTCCGTAATTTCAGATCGGTCTTCCTGGACAGCGACCGGTGATCGCCACGGGCATCCGCGCGCTTATCCACTTGAGCGCTGTCAAGGGCGGGAAGACCGGGCCCGCCATGAACCCCATGATCGCGACTGCTTGGGTGAGAGCACGGTCGTTGCAGCCGTCACATTTACGAGTGACGTGGGTCATCGGTACTGCTGTATGTCATGATTATGGTGGATGTCTTGCGAACACCAAACTCGCAACTGCGCTGCTAGTCGAGAACGGGACGGGCGTGCGACGTGGCAGGCAGTCATCGCAGCTCGTGCGGTGGCATTACCGCTTTTTTCTACCACGTAGTGACGACGGCTATGACGGATGTGGCCTCAGGTTTAACACGGTTTTCGGATCGGTATTCTAGCGATATTTTGACAAGGTTTGGCTTCGGTCTCGCCCGGCCCATCTCTATTTTTTGGTAACGCTCTTGCCTGCGGTGCCACCCCGTCAGGCTAGCTTCCCTCCGTCCCCTGCTATGGTAGCATGCACCACATACTTTAAAACTTCCGCCCACGTAATCCTGGCCTTGCCTGAAGGAATGATCGGTGTTCCTTGTGTAGTTGCGCCTGGTATCTCCTTACCGCTTGTTTTTCCCGGTTTGTTTGTGCCCATGTGATACTCCTCAGGCGGTGTACGACAAGTCTGTCACCATGGACCAGCAGTGGTTCCTGGTGTACTGGGTCGCTCCTTGCGCCGCGGCGGTGGCAGGCACCCTGCTGTGGAAAGCTCTCGAGCCCAAACCCAAGGCTAAAACCGACTGAGCTCACGTGGAGTTTTGTGGGGATGGTTGGTGCGAGGGGGGGGGGGCGATGCCTGGAGCATCTAGACGGGACGCTGTACGGGGAGGACAGCATCCGAACAGCAGATTGGAAAGGGGAAACTTTTCCCCACAATTTTCCGCGTCTTTTTTATCATGTCCGATATCGTTTTTCCCTTTTGTGTAATCGGTGTTGCATCCGGTTTCACGCACATTGTTCTCTGTCAGCGTGCAAGGCCTTTTGAGCACGCATGCAGCAAGGAGGGGTGGCAAGTGAGTTGTGGCGGGGGTGTTTCGTTTTTAGAGTATCCGCCCCGCAGGTTAGCGCAGTCAGTCGCGCTATGCATATTACTTGAATATTTTTCATAATGTAGTTGCCTCCCTTGTCTCATACTCGGAGTTTCTTGGTGTTTTATTAGTCAAAATAGAGTTCAGTTAGGGTAGAGTTTTGGGTAGCCTCGTGTTCTGGATAGGCACCCGTCCTACAGCAGCATTCGCGTCGGCACTGTTGTCAACGCGCTGAGGGTTGTACCTTGTTGCAGCTGCTGTGTGTGACGTCACGAGTTGCATAGTGGCAGGAAGTGGACGACGCTGTCGGAGTATGTGTACGAGCTACGTAGCGCAGGGCACTAGGCGGTAGAAAACCGTAATTCGTGTTTTTCACCGGCAGCACGCGTTGGCATTCATGGGCCGGGGATATAGTCTTCCCCTGAGTTCTGCGCGAATGCCTCCGCCGCCACACCGAATATATAATTCCGCTACGGCGTTGACGAGGTTTCACTCGGTAATTGTGTTTTTTTTAGTTTTCTTGTCTTGTGTGTTTAGGAACGACGTCACTACAATATTTATATTTTCGTCGACGATATTTGACCGCCAACACGAAACGGCCATATGTGGAATCGTCTCTCGCATTTGCCGGGCGTGGTGCTCGGCCGCACCTCGACTCATCTCTTGGGCTTATGGCCCAATCGGGTCGTACGCTACTGCACCCTGTTCTTGGAGCGATCAGCCAGCTGGGGACTTGGATTTCCCGGCCTGTACTGTTGGCAGTGAGCATTTTGGCCTCAAACCACCCCCTCACGCAATCCCTCATGCGCTTTCGGAAACCACTCGGCACCGAAAATTAGACCTCAGAGTAGATGAGTTCACACACGAGTCCACCCGCTCTCTTGACACAGCGCGCTTGCTATATAGGACGGTACGCAAGACCAGACTCCATCGAATACGTTGGTACCCTTCGGTGTGCTCGACGCCCGTGGCACAACGTCCGGCGACAGACCCATCAAGAGAGTTTTCGTCGCGCAGCGGGTGGAAACGAGGGTTCTACTAAAGAAAGAGGACACCTGTGCCGAAAAAAAAATGAAAACGCTGAACTGCGATGTCCTTGTAACAATGGCGGGTGCAAACAAGGAAACAAGAGCTGGCCGACCGCTTGGGACGGTGCATGCATCGTTGTTGACATTTTCCTCTATGAGGACTGAGGCACTGGTTGCTTAGACCACTCCTACGGTTAGCGTCCCCCCGACCCTACCCCGCTTCAGTGAGTCGGACAGCCGCGCGTGAACGGAGGTGATGTGCTGGAGTGCCGCGGAAGAGGCGCCCGAACGGGTGAACGGCGAAGAAGATACTGAGGTCATGGCCGCCACATCCGCCCCGCCGTCTCGAGTCTCACTCTCCTTGGAGCCAGCTACGTTGACATGTGGGAAAAGCACCCGTTCCGCTGGCGAAGCCGGATGGCTCCAGCCTAAAAGCGTAGACCCCACGGTGTCACTCACACCCAGCACGCCTGCTTTCTTGTTGCTCGCGCAAGACGGTCGCAGCACGCCAGCCACCCCTCCACTGCGCTCTCCCCTCCGGCTTGACCACAGCCCAAACACCCCCTCCACGCCGCCAAAGTTATCGGTTGTCGGGGTGGCCTGAGCGTTCTTCTTCCGCTCCCGCTCGAGCTCGAGCTCGGCGAGCTGGAGCTCCCCCCTCGTCGCGCCCACGTCTGCCCTTGCCCTCGCCAGAGCCGCCGCGGACCGGGCTTCCGAGGCCCTTAAGCCTGCGGCTCGCCCCTCTAGCGTCTTCACGCGCTCGGCCAGGGCGGTCGTTCCGTCGCGGAGCCTCCTCAGCTCTTCTTCCCGGGAAGACTTTGCCAGCTGGGTTTCCCCAGGGCCCGTCGACGACGAAATTACCTCGTGCATCCGGTTTTCGACGTGCCGGGCGCGCCGAGAGCTTGACCGCCTCCTCTTAAAGGCGTTGGATCGCGCCGGCCGCCCGTGAATCTCATCAGCTGTATCGGTGGCGAACAGCGCAAGGCCCACGGCGTGGACTACGGCGTTGATGGCGCTCGAAATGCACTGCGGTAGATGCGTCCGTGGGGGTGACGGCGGTTCAGATATCGCCTCGGTCAAGGGTGACACGGCGTCCGACGGCGACCCCGCACCCTCTTCGTCGTCGCCATCGTCGCAGGCAGCCTCAACCGCGTCGAGTCGCAGCACCCACGCGAGCAGGCCGGTGGTGCCGACGCTGCCCGACATTGCGCAGCTGCCGGTAACACAATCCACGTATTCCCTCTGCAATTCAGCGGCTCTCATCCTGCCTGAAGACACCGGGGTCCCCGGGCCGCCATTTTCCCCGTTGACCAATCGCTCGGGTTCAACAGGCAGTACGGCGGGAACGGGTGAAAAATAAACCACCGGGCTCTGCCTCGAAGCACCACCACCGTCATTGCCATCCCTACAGCCTTGCGAAGAACGGGCCGGGGTTAAGTCCATCGTCACGCACATCGTCTTGCCGGTGGAGTACGCCTGCACGGCAGCTTCCTCGACCGTCCGCGCCCAAGCCTTTCCGCACTCAAATCTTTCCGAACCGTCCACCGCCCCGTGCATTCTCGACGCTGTGGCTGTTGCCCAGGCGCGCGGATCGGGCGAGAAGGAAGTGCGGCGGTCGCCCCCCGCCCCTGCCGCACTCCTACTACTTCCGCCGCTCCTGTGTCTACGCGGGGTGAGAAGGACACTCCCTTCGCAGCCCGGAACCACCGCGCTGGCTAGCCTTTCGACAGACGCGGCTACCGCGGCGTGGCCCTTCCTTCCGGCGTCGTCCAGGCCCGACAGGAGGTGCCGCAGAGCGTCGGTCTGCTGGTCCGCCCGTTCTGCGGCCGCTGCCTCGGTCAGCGCCTGCGCTTTTGAAGCCTCGGCGGCTGCAACCAGGGCCCTCATGCCGGCGACGGCGCGCTGCCCTCGCGTCCGCGCTTCCGCTTCGGCGGCGGAGGTGCAGGCCGCGGCAACCTCGTCTCGTTCCTTCAGGCGCCGAACGTGTTCCTTCTCGCGCAAAACCTGGAGCGCTATACCTAGACACGCCGCCAGGGCCGAACCCACCGCAAATCTGTCTCTTATCCTGAAGCAACCCTGCCTCGCGTTTGAATTGCCACGGATGGAGAGGACCAGGGGTTCGGCGCGGCTTCCGTAGTAAGGAATGTGCACCTGCAGTTGTTTCGCCAAGCCCGGGCCGTCATCGCCACTGATGGAATCAGGGTAGGAATGCGGTATTGCGTTCTCTTCGTCCTCGCCGTGTAGGTCACTGGTAGCCCTGGGTGTGTGAATCCCTTCACCCATCTGTCGCAGCGAAAGTGGTAATGCGTCCCTCGCAATCCGGTCCTCTTTCAGCTCCGTCTCGCTCTCCGCGCCAGCCTCCGGCTCGGCGAAGGGCAGGTGAACTACGCGAGCAAACGAACAGCACAGAGCGTTTCGAGCGGCGCGTTCAACTACGGCTAGAACCTTGCCCGTACCCGACTCATCAGACAGGCCGACCTCCTCCGCATCATCCCCGGTCCCGGCCCCGGCAAGATCACCCGCTCCACAAGCAGCACCAATATCAGCCACCGCGGAACAGACACCCTTGAGCTGCCGCCGGAGTTCTTCCGCCTCTCGACGAGCCCTCCCCAACCCCTTCTCTGCAGCCGCTATCTCTCCCGCGCGGTGCTCGTCGAGCTCGGCCTTCCTCTTCGCCTCGCGTTGCGCCCGTCGGTCCCTCTCTTCCACCAGGACGGCGACGGCCTCGGAGGCTTCTTCCATGCCCCGGAAGGATTCTCGCAGGGCGGCCTTCATCTCGGACAACGCGGCGCGATCGCGGACGCCGGCGAGGGCCTGGGCGAGAAAAGTCGCCGCGTGAGAGGCGACGCTGGTCTCGTGCTCCGAGAAATCCGGGCCGGGTCCACGGGATACGACAAGCTCGAGTTCAACCGCGGAGGGCCGGCCGCGACCACCAGGGCAAGAGGAAGCCGTAGAAGGGAGGGGCATATCATCGGTGGTGTCGTCGCTGCTGCTGCTGCCAAGGGCTGGGAGGAATGCCCAGCCGGGGTGGGTTGAAGACAGGCAAAACCTGAGTAGCGGCGGGGCGCCGGGTGCAGAGCTGTTGGTGCTGAAGGGGGTCGGAGTGTGCTCTTCCGTCCAGGCGCAAGCGTCCATGCTTCGTCGGAAGAACGCGGCCGTGGCGGAGATTGCACCTGCCTCCGTCATAGCTTCTCCCATCTGATGAACAACATGAGGTTTGGGGGGTTTACAGGCAAGCATTTTAGAGCCAAGAGCAAACATGGGGCTTCGCAGCTAGTGTGGAATCAATCGACGATGGTGGGACGCCCCCCACCAGGACCGAAGGTCAGTTGCCCTGAAGGAGGCCAGTGACATCGTAATCGCGTGACACAGATGAAATATTCAAGTTGTTTCATACTCTGAATATTGCCGGGTGCCCCGTGTAAGGGCGGGTAAAAAAATCCCTTGGCACTGTGCAGCCTGATACAGCAGCATCATTGAATATTCCATATATCGTGACTCCTTACTAACAACGATCCTTGATCGCTTGTAGCTCGCCCGACCCGCAGGGGTGAGCTCACAAGAGAACAAAGAGTATCACCTTCTCACAAAACAAGAAAGAGCGAACTAAAAACAGCGGAACGTTCGGAGCCCTTGAACGTGGGAGGGGCTCTCCGTGGAGCTGCACCCAGTCACAATACTGAAAATGTATCCTTAGGGGTGTCAAACGGGCTGTGGACTCACTTTCGTATCAATATATCCCACAAAAAAACGTGTCCCCGAAGATTCCAATCTGCGAGTTCGCCTGAAGGGGGGGCATTTTTCGCAAAAACCTCATCGTTTCTTCCATTTTCCCGGGGGCTTACCCAGGGTAACTTACCACACACGAAGGCAAAGGACCTCGGCGGACAAGCCAAAGACCCACCACCGCGAACGAGCATTTTAACACCACACGGTACGCCGAAACGCGTACGTTTCGAAGGCGATGAGTGTGCGTCGGTGCGTTTGGGCCTCTGATCTATCCTGGACTTCAGCTCAATAAATTCTGTGGTTGTGGGCCCACCAACCAGCGTCACACTTACAGGACAGGCCGAACAGAGTTTTTAATGGCTCCCACATTCCTGCTGGAGGTAGTTTCCATAGTAATGGTCACGAGGAAATGGCAGAATATAACACCGTGCCATTTCCCTCGTCAACAATCAAGTCGAATCCTATCGAATCCTATGAACCCAAAATATTTCGCTCTTAACTTCGTTGACTCTGAGATGTTCCTTGATTGCGACGGCAGTACTGAACATTAGGATCGGTATTGCCATATGGACACAAAGAACTCTTGTCTTCTCCAGGTGCAATAATCGACGGTTTCGGACTGGACAATTGTTCAGAAATAAGGTTTGATTATGTTGCGCCCGTTCCCAGTGCTGACAGTCCCGCCTTGTTATTTTATAATGGGGCTCAGGTTTTGAAGATGCCCCTTTTTGAAGGCCTTTGTTTGAAATTTCTGCTCTCCGCAAACTTTCAGAAGAACGACCAGGCAGATGGGCTGGACCCACCTTAGATAAACTAACCAACGAAATGGCGACAGGTTCATCACATGCCATCGTAGAGCTACAGACAGAAGGAGCGTTTTGGGTTAGCACGCCCTGTGCGGGTTGAAACATCGGTTTGACCTGGCTGAGAACTTCACAACCAGGCGCAGCAAGTGCAGAACGAGCAAAACGGCGAGAATAGCCGAGGGATCGCGATCCGCTGCTGCTGCTGCTGCTGCTGCAGATGGCCAGGCAGGCAGGCACGCAACAACCAAACCCAAACACTCGTCGCAGCTGTAATTTCGCTTTTCTGCCGTGAGTAACAAGTATCTTCTTGCGTGTGTGAGGCATCAGGCCGAACAATTTGCAAGCTCTCTCCTGCCCTCAATCAGGTTTCACCCCATCATCAACAGAGTCAGACAAACACATGCCGCGCTCGAGATGGGACCCAGGCACTTGGTCTGAATGTTGTGTGTGGTACGCGGCATCGACAGTTGTAGGTTCACGGAGTCTGCCTTCATTGAGATACAGTACCAGGGGCGATGTCTGCGAAAGTTTCACCAAACAGCAGTAGCTTAAAACCGCTTAAATCTTCGACTTTTGGCACCCAGGACCGGTCCCAGGAACCCTGCTTCAAGTACTTCAACAACGTAAAGGTGTTTTCTGAAAAAGTCAAGCTCCAGTCCGAAACTGTGGAATTCGTGTAGTTCCTTCTACTGGGAAGGAAGTCAAGCAGGGAAAGCCCGTAAGAGAATCGAAGGCGGTCACGACACAGTACATGTTAATTGCGCTCAAGGTGTATGCTCAACGAGCAGGGAAGCGGCAAGATTTATCTTTGCATTCGTTTCGGTCGAGAGGAGCGATTTCACGGGCATTAGCACGAGCAGGGAGATTCTCTCTCATTCATTATCTCGAATGGGTGTCTTTCTGTGTGTGTAGTTATTTTTCCTTAATCCACTTATATTGTATGCGGAAGGAATATTGGAAAAGCCCGAAGACAGCATGGAGATACATGCGGCTGGTGGAGGTGGCGCCAGGTTCCGGGGGTGAGGGCGTGGTCCAAGGGGTAACAGAGGCACATTGCATGCAAGTTACTACAAGTATTAGTCTTACAAAATATCCCCGATTTTAAAATTTTAGTCGGGCAATGTTGTACTTCCATACGCAGACAGGGCATCGCCCGTGACGCACGTACAAACTGCAATGTACAATGCGAGCTGCGTAACGCGTTATCGACCATGGGATTTCAGTTTCGCGAGGCACGGTTGTGATGCATACATACGTACTGTAGGTCGCTACTGTGCATCAGATGATGTACACCGTCGTCCAACAGCCGCCGTTATTTAGAACAAGAGCTTGCCTCGATAGCTGCAAGGATCAGCCCATAGCTTGTTGTGTCTTCCTCCATTTTTATCGTCTGTTTGAGTCACCAGCGTACGTGATATAGCTGTTCAGCATGGACTGGACATCTGTGTTGACTTCCGTTGCTCTTGGCCCGGGTGTGTGACGCGTGCTCCCAGTCCGTGCGTCGGCGGCGAGCGGTTCGGCGGTTGTGTTGGGCCCACAGGCCGCCCAGCGCAAAGAATATGACTCTTGTTATGGTATAATAAGAGTCATATTCTTTGGCCCAGCGCCCAGCGGTTGATAGGGGGCTCCGCAGAAAGTGTTGTGTACGCGAAACCCACCCACCCTACAAGTTACAGCAAGGGACCCCGCAGAGGAACCGGGACTGTCACCCAGCCCGACGCCGCAACACAGCGAGGACGAGCGCGACACGGGAGCATTGTGCGAAATATCCGCTCTATCATGTTGGCCCGCATCAAGGAGTATTTCGAAGACAGAGGTGCGTGAGAGGAGCGTTGAAATATACCTGGGTGTGCGCTGTATCCTGTCCAAGACAGAGCGTTCATGATCTCCTCAACAGGCACCATGAGATGAAACTTAAGGGTACGCTGCTGCTGTATCGACTCCGCGTGCACTGTGTTGTTGCACAACATTAACGAGTAGATAGAAAAGCACACCACAACGATGTAGATGTGAGAGGAAACACAACACCACAAAACATCACGGATAAACGGATGCTTCTGTGCGGTCCAACTAAAGGCGTAGGCAAGTCTTTCTGTGTGTGTTTTTATTATTCCTTAATTAAATTTAGACTAGGCGAACAGCGCGGCGTAATCGTGAAAAGGTAACTTGTTGTTGTTTCTCCGTCATGCCGTGCTAGTCAGGGGGACACTCTGAGTCCGTCCCCGAGATTCTGCAGGACGTATTGCTGTGCTGTAATAAAGGGGGTGTTGACGATTTACGCCGCAATATTTTGCTTTCAACCCTGTCTCTCGTTCTAACCCTAACCCTTTAGGGCTGGGTCGCCTTTTGGGGAAACTTTTTGTCCCCATCTTTTTCACCTGCTTCACCTCGCGAAGAATGACATGATTGTCTCCTCCTTTGCTCTACTCGACCAGGGGGGTGCCAGGGTACACAGGGTCGACTTTAGTCTAGTATGGATGCTTTGTAGAGTGGAGGAGTATGAGGGTAATGAACAGGTCGAATCGAGGGGCGATTACGCCGCGGGTTCAACAGCGAAGTTGCGCCGCGTCTGTCTACCCTTGGGTGGAAAGCGCTACTAGGGGCAAGCGCGGAAGAAGTACCTAGCCCACCGTTGATAGGAGGCACCGAGCAACCTAGGGCTTGAGCTAGAAGGTCTCACTTTCCCTCTGGAGAAACATCTTTAAAACATCCTTTTCGTGCCCCGTTTTCCCACGCTCCCGCCAGTTGCTGTCTATAATCCCTATCAAATGTCCCCTCGTTTGATAGGGATTATAGACAAAAGACGGCTCAAGTGGGAAGGCAGCTTTGCACTTGCACCCAGGGATGGAACTGTCTGCACCATCCAATCAGCAGGCGTCGTTCGCTCTTTTTCCTACATTTCAGAAATTTCGCAAGAACGCCGAGTTTTCTGTGCGTGGTAAGGGGGTTAAAGACATGGAACTGTTAAGAACGTGTCCATTCTCCCTCGACCTCCTTGTGTTTCCCCTCCTGGCTGTCTCCTGTTGTGCCTACAGGCGTTACGGCGAGCAACCTTCCCAAGGTCATCGTCGTGCACGAATGCTTGAGCGTGGCCTTCCTGGCGCTTACCTGGGCTGTCTGCTATCAAATACAGCCTACGCAGGCAAGTCACCCAAGAGAGGCCGAGAGAGACGGACGGAAACAGACAGACAGACAGACAGACAGAAGAAACTAGAGAGAAATATGCTGCACCGGTAGCACCTTCGACCTCAAAACCGTGCATGGCGTCCCCAATCATCGTTCTTCTAGCTATATGTGCCATGTAAATTACCGCCCTCTCTGAGAACATCTTAACGAGGAATCATTTTCTCTCTGGGCCGTTGTTTCTACCTTCCCGTGACTCACCCGTGCCCCCCGTCCCCCCTCTCCCGCCCCTCATGGTAAAAGTGCTCGTCGTCATACCTATATCCATGGCACGGTGCACCGTTTAGCTGAGGTGCGTGTACCCAATTGTGAGAGGACAGTTCACAGATCAGGCAACGGGAACTAACAAACACGTGCCCCTCCCCCCTATCCACCTTTGTTCACACTCGATTAACGCAGGGCCCAGTGCTCGCGCCCATCAACAAAACAATCCAAAACAGCAACAACGCCTTCATCGTCCGGAGTCGCCAGTCCTTCGAGGCCCTCATCTCCAAGTCGGAGAAGCGGCTTAGCCAAGATTGGTGAGAGATACAAGCTTGGTTTTTGGTACAGCAGGCGTTGTTGCTACTGCTGTTTCGTGTACTACTTGTGGGAACAATTGTGCTTCAACGCTTGTATATGCACTACTGTTGTTCTCTTCGCGTCCGCTTGTTTGTTTTCCGTATCCGTCACCTTTGTATGCCTTGTCTCTTTTTTGTCGACCTTTTCTTTGATCTCTACCGTACAATCAGGCTCAACAAGAGAGGAATCGACTCCGGGAGAATGGCGATCTCCCTAGCGGAATCGACCCTGTTCCGAAAGCTCGCCAAGCCGGTCACCATCCCGGGAAAGCTCTGGCTCACGCTCAAGCTCTCGCAAACATTCCTTGTCGGCGACGACCGCGACAACGGCAATGAAAGCACCAACAGTGGTACCAGAAGGCCGTTGGTAAAAGAAGCAGCTTCGGGGACCAGAGGATGGGGGTGGCTGAGGAAGGGAAGACGATCTGGAAAGAGAGGGAAAACGATTTGCCCCCCCGGGAGGAGGGGGGGTGGGAGGGCGCCCGGCTGCTTTGTTGTCTTACCGCAGGCCGCTTCTGGCCCGTTTTTGCGATCCTCGAAGGAAATTTGTAGGTAGAAGACTTACTCTAGGGCACACGCTGCAGAACTCCCAAAGCTTGGAGGGGCCCGGCCTAGCGATGGCTCGCCCTTTTTTCGGTCCTTTGTGATACTCCACAGTTGCCCGTAGAGCAGTGGAGGTGGCGGTATATCGTATCGCGGTGTAGTGACCGACGAAAATCACCACGTTATTTTGGGACCCGCGCTACTGGGGGAGGCTACGGTTGCTGTGCCAACGTTTTTTTTCCGCGGTACATGGGGCACCGCGTTATTCGGGACCGCGATATATTGGGACCACTTCTGTAGTCGGTCTTGTTTGTTGCCCTCTTTCCCTACCTCGCTTTGCGCAACTAGCGGGGTCGTCTGGAGTATTTTCTGTGCAATTGCACCAATGAAAGCTTGTCTGTTTGCCAACGGAGACAACGTCGGTCGCGACAATATGACGGAGAAGATCACACGAGTTAGCGTGTCTGATTATGCTATCTCTGTTCACACACAAGGACTGTGTGTGTGCGAAGGGGTGTGTTTGTGTCGCAGGTTTTAGCGCTAACGTAATGACGTCCGATTTTTTGCGTGGGTGCTAACCCACTGTTGTTGCCTTGGTTTCTCTTTACACATATTTCGAGTATGTTTCGGAGGCCCCAGTCGGGATTACACAGAAAGGTAGAACGACACACCAAAGTTGTTGCCACCTTTCTCATTGGGTGCTTGCCGTTGTACATGGATCGGCAAGGATTCCGCCTTTCCATTCCCGCTTTAAGTGGCCGAGATGATCTCACAGGGGGAGTTTCCTCCTCCTCGAGAATATCTCTTCCAAAATCGTACGTGCATACAATCGCGAAGGATAGAGCAGTGGCCGGCGACGACGAGAACGACACTCCTCGAAAGTGTCGGGTCTTGCGACCTCACGGCATGCATAGAGTTTTGCACAAGTAATATTCATTTAGCCGTTCTTGTAGATATCCACCGCTGACTGATCTTCGGTAGGTTATATTGCCTTCATTTCATCTCCTACCGAGTCCAGCGAATGCACCATTTTCATTCAGAAGCTTGAAATGGAATGTACTTTAGTATGAAGTATGCATTCATGCGAAGAGGGAGTGAATGCACACGTCAGGTGGTAACTGCAACAGACCATCCCTCTCTGCCACCAAATCTGCCGCCACATGCATTCACTCTCACGTCCAGTGCGTGTTGCCTAGTATACTGATTTTTGCTGGCAATGTGACCGTTAAGAAGAACGATGACCACTACATAGACCACTACATGTTCACAGGAATGCCAACCCTGAGGGGAAGAGTTCGTGGCTTGAAAGAACGCTTGACGGACTCGGGCATTAAAATTTATTGAGAAGCACAATGAACACTAGACCACTACTGTGTAGTCGGCAATAACAGTGACGAGTGACGATGACGTCACGAAAGGAGCAGGCGTGGTGGGGGTAAGCTCGGATACAATTGCACGGAGGTCCGGTGGACGCGTTCGGATGGAAGGGTTTGGTTCTGTTTTCGAAGTTGTGGATTTTGGGGAGTGATTTCACTGAACTGGATAGTTCGCGTCAGTCTGAGGCAGTTGTGCGGTCTGGGAGTGAGAATTCCCGACGACCGTACTGATATACGGGGGCCAGCCACAGGTAGCTTCAAATACACACCTTAAACACATCGACCCTTGGCTCAGTCGCTGTGCATTGTTATTTCCTGTCGTCAAGACACGGGACTACTGTAATGCCCTATTCTTGTCAGCACATCTGGGTGTTTTGGCGCGGGAGTGAATGTACGGCAGTTGCAGCATGTGAAGACGAAAGTACGACATTGCTATCTTGTAGGAAGTGTCAGAGGGGCCTAGGACAAGCGGGTGCGGTGTAAGGTAACAGCAACAGCTGAATTCAAGAGCAACTGCCCCCACGAGGTAGGCGACACAGGTCCTGTGAAAATATGATTGGGAGTTCACAGGTTCACAGGCCGAGACGTGGGGACGTCTCATGGGACACATTGGACTTCTCGTGGGACGCGTGGGACGACCCATGGCACGTGGAATGAGACTGATAGGACACGTTCATAGGACGCCTGGAACGTCCCATGGGGACAAATACCCCTGCGGCGCCCGACACCATCAGCCACACGCATCGACACTCAGATAGGATGGTGGGGCTACGGCAGTACCAGTGCCTTCTCGTGCACGGCGACACATGATATTTGTAGGTCGTTTCATGGGCATTCAATACGTGTTGATAGATATACTTGTAGCAATGCCAAGTGGTTGTAGGATTGTATGGTACGTGGAATGTATTTCCAGGGTGTGCAAGGTACCCCTGTTGTATACTGCGTCGCCCCCGTACTGATGGTGCGTGCGCGTGTGCGTGCAGTTCGTTCATGTGTTCATGTGAGTCCATGTTTTTCATGTGAAGAAGAAGTCTATACAACAAGCCCAGCACATCTTTCCTCCTTGGCGCGAGTTCGCCGAGTTGCCGACACCCTATTCAACACACGTCTTGCGACAAGCTACCCCCAGTTCGGATCATCCTAACACGCTAGCGTGTGATATCACACGGGATCCCGAGGTGAGGTTAGCTATAAAAGGGTTCGGCTAGAGAAGTAGATCATGGAAGCCCTCGACCTCAGCAGCTTAACTGAAGAGGACCGCCAAGCATTTATCGGCGCACATCAAAGAGGAAGTGGAGAGAGGAGTACAAGAAAAAATCAAGTTTACCGAAGAGAAGCGTCCCGCATCAGAGAGCGTGGACAAGCCCCCCGATGGAGGCGATCCCCGGCATGCTCGGCCGGCTGGAACAGCGTTAGACCCGCAACCTGAAGACCAGCCACGATCGTTGGAGGACCGTCTCGTTGAGTCCTTCGCGCGGGCAATGCGGAGGACCAACACTCCGGGGGAGGAAACCAGGGAAGTCTTACCCCCTAAGGACACCATTCGTGTCAGTCCTGTAATACATGTAGCCCCATTTACGGGTGTGTTCGATTCGAGTGTCGATGTCCAGGTTAGAGTGCAGGTTTTTGAGAGCCAATTTCGGATGTTGCTGCAACAAGAAGATTGCCTGAGCGCGATACAATCAGAAGAGACGATCAAGGTGGGGAAACCAGATGCAGACATTCCCAATCTGAAGGAGGAGTATGGTAGGAGGGCCGTAGAGAAGGCTATGAAGGCATGGCAGCTAATACTGGCGAAGATTCAGGTTGCATCGATCGTTCCAGCCATTATCTCTAGTGGTTGCCCCACGGAATCATGGAGGATATTCCGAAACTACTTTGAAGTGCACGCCCACACAGAAAAGACTAGCCTCCAACTAGAGTGGCAACAATTGACGCAGAAGGGAGACCAACATCCCAAAGAGTACCTGTCGAGAGGGTGGGTGCTAAGGCAAAGATTGTCGTCATGCGGCGTGATGATAACTGAAGATGATGCCAACAGACACCTCGTGCGCAACCTCCTCCCGGATTATGATGTATACACAGGTTTTCTCATGTCCGAGAATGGTCTGGAGAGGGAGAGGGTAGAAAGAATCATAGTGAATGCTTGGGCGGAGATGGAGGCGAGAAGGAAGAAGAAGCAGGAGAGCGTGGGGGCTTACGCCCTCGTCACTGGCGGTGAGAACCGTAGTGGCGGGGGAGGGAACACGGGGGGACCAGGGCAGTCGAGAGGACAACGGAGGACGGGAGCGCGACAACAGCAGCAACAACCGCAGCAGCCACATCAGCAGAATCAGCAATACTTCTATCGACAGCAACAGATGTACCCGCCGCCGCACCCGCCCGAGATAAGATATTGTGACCTCCACAACACCCCGTCCCACAGCAACGATGAGTGTCGCTGGCAGCGAGGTTGGGGAGGTCCCTCGGGCAGCCAAGATGCGAGATACGGCGGAAGGTACGGGCCCCAGCATGGGGGCCGGGGCTTTTCTGGAGGAGGACGTCATCAGCAGCAGCTGGCAAGAGGAAGACACGGTGGACGTGGCGCCACTCCCGGTGGATGGGGCAGAGGCCCTCCTCACCAGGGAGCACCAGGCAGCAATCTTCCCGCCTACCCCGTGCCTCAGCAGGGGTACGACTACAGCGCTTACCCCCCGAACATCTACCGCCCCCAAGGAAACGAGCCACCTATCCACGCAGCAGATCCGAGGAAGCGGTGCGAAAACTGCGGTGAGATGGGCCACAACCACATCTTCTGCCCTTCACGGGTGGATGTAGGCAGACCAGCCGGCCAGCCCGCAGCGCCCGCACCGCCCCGACCCCCGGCCGCGGGATACAACACCCAGCGGCCCCCATGGGCGCACTCCTACGGGCAGGCTAACGCCGCACAGCAGTACGGCGGGGGGCCGCACGAGACAGGAGCGGCAGCAGGCGCGTCAGCAGGAGCGGCGGCAGAAGCACAACAGCATCCGGTGACGCACGCGAGCGGCGTTTACGAGTACCCGCCCCAACAGCAGCAGCCGGAGTACGCTTCACAAGGCCATGGGCGGGCAACGCATAGTAATGGATCCTGTAGGCATTCACCTATTCGACGGAAATTTAACTTTTCCCCGTGGCGAGCGTGGTTCATCGTTGAGAGCCACTCGCCTGCCCCCGAATTACGGGACGCCCATTGCTGTGCCCGTGACAACGCCGTTTCCCCCGCCCGCCCCTCGCTCTGCCGATTACGTTAGTGTGAGTGGTGTTGAATCTATGCATGCAATCCCCCGCATGCAGCCTTCCCCCCAAGGTGTAGCGTACGTGCCCCCTCCCTCGGTGTCTAGTGTACCGCCCACTGTCGGCAGCGCCAGCAGTGTAGTACCTCCAACGGTGTCTAGGTTCCCGCCCACTGCAAGCAGTGTCGTGCATCCATCTGCTCCGAGGAGCATAGTGCCGTCCCATGTCTCTGGTTTCCCGCCCGCTGCCAGCAGCGTAGTACCTCATGGTGACCCCCCCCACAGGAATATTTTTCATGCACCCGTGTCGAATTTTCCGCCCGCTGCTACCGGCGAAGTACTTTCCACGATGTACGGTTACCCTCCCGCTGCAAACAGCGTAGTACCCTCTGCTGTGTCCGGTGTCCCGCCCGCTGCGAACAGCGTCGTTCCTCCGGCAATGTATGCCCCCCCCCTCGCTGACAGGAGTGTGGTTTTTTCTTCCGCTCCTCAAGTACCTCATGGAATGGAGTTGGTAGGTGTTCCCGGGCTGCCCTCGCCCGACGTCTCCGTTTTTCAAGAGAGTATTGATGATGATGACCGTGGGTGCATTCCGTTCACGGAGCAGGGAGATTACGAGTGGGCTGTGTACCTCTTAGAGCGACGAGAAGAATCAGACGACCCCCATGAATTTTTGGAGTTGATGTTTGAGTCTGGCTTTGCGAATGTCTTCGATGATGTTGCCTTTGCCGTCCCCGTCATGGCCCCGGGCAAGCGACCTTTTTCGGTGGGGAAACCCACAACCGTTGTTGACATTAATCTTCTCCA